AAAAGGGTATCTATCCACTTTCCAGCTTCAAACCAATAAAAATCAGATCAAACTTATTTTGTGTATGCATTTTATTTCTTCTCATTTTGACCTCATCCTGACCCACTTCCATTTTTGTATTCACTTAAAGCTTTGAAGCACTGTCACACATGTGCTAAGCATTGGGCTTCGCTGACACCTAAAAAGCTGCCAAAAGACATTGGGTCCATGACAGGCATCCCATGGGAAAACTGTCAAGAAAAGGAGAATAGACCACTTGAATGTAATTTATGTCATCTATGTGCACAGCTCCTTTACACATATATATCAGCTGCACCAAAAGAGGGACACATCCTGGTGCTCGTGCCAAGTGCTCAGGGGAAAAGCTTTCAATCAATAACAACAGTAGGTTTGATAAAGATCGCATCATTTGTCCTCAAAGGTCAGCTTCGCCATCTTGGATGGAGGAAAAAACCTCAGGAAGTTTCGCAAGAAAATAGCTAGCCCAAATACTGGAACAAAATACACCCATTTTATTCGCTGAAATACTCAGACATGAAATATATCAACAGAACACCATCAGTCACTAATGAACACCAATTTCACAGGTGTTTTTTAAAAACAGGCTAGCATCATCTATGGGTATCACTTAGACTCCAATCTACAGAGAAAGGATAAACAAATGATCACTTTGCAAAAACCTTAAAACTGGTATTTTAAGAATTGTTTAAAAAAACCCAGGAGGTAGTGAGATAGAGATTTGAACTAGGAAATTCAAGTGCTTTAACTTGAAGAGTTAATGTTTACCGACAGAGTAGGAGGTTACGTTTGGCTCAACTATATTCCCTTTCTATCTGTCACATACTAACACCAGCAAGACCAGAGGTGTGCTAGGGTTGCTGGAAGTTGCATCTACCTGCAGAGAAGCACACACAGATATGTCTTAGAACTCGTGAAAATCAAGGATTAGTCAATCTCTGGTCAAGTCTTCGGTGCCTATTGACCAAAGAAGAGTGGCCTATGCCAGACACATTACCTTCATTCCACTGGCATGGTAAGCTTCATACCACTGCCAAGGGTAACCACTGCTAATCTTTAGCAGTCAAGTAAACCTTCACTGGGGGAAGACTTGAAAAGCTGGCTCATCTGGCCTTAAAGGGAGAACCAGAACCACACCAGCAACGTTCAGGTACAGCAGTGAGCAAAGCTTTCCTTCTCTACTTGCACTGAGAAAATTGCTGCTGCCATCTTTACTTGAAAAAACAGCCCAGTACCCTAATCTCCTGAAATGTGATGATGCTATTCCTTATTCAGAGAACAAGTGCTATTTTCAGTTCTTCCACTGGGAAAACACACACACAGTATTTAAAAAAAAAACAAAGTTTCGGGACCTAGCCATGACGAAAAGCCAAAACTAATATGATTTCCAACAAAACACTGGAATGTACTCTGCAAAACAGCTACAGTTCAGTGCATATCAACTGTTGGTGGCCTTCCACTACAGCTAACTACATACCACCGATATGAGCTATCGGTCATTTCAACCCCGGGTAATGGATTGTTGTTCATCATCTCAATTTCTAGTTTTTAACCATTTTTAAGCAGACACATAAAATTAGAATCCTTTTGACCCTAAAACTTGCTTCCTAAACCTACCAAATCCCCTTCTCATGCTTTCATTTCATTCAGGGCATACTGTAATTCCCTCTGATGAATACAGCGGGCATGAGGAAAACGCTGGAGAGCTTCACATAACAGTGCCACGTAGGACTGACCACAGTGGAATGCAGCAGGGCAAAGGTATGCTTTCCAGGGTAAGTGACTGCCAGGATTGGAAGAAACAAATCGAGGGCCTTTTCGTCTGTGCATGACACGTGCTACTAAAGAAAGGTGCATCATGTCATCTGTGCTTTGTGAGAATCACAACTGAAAATACTATTTGTAATGAAATATTTTACATGTTGGATTCACGCTTAATTTCTTCTGACAGCTTTTTATATGTCAAATTAAACCGTTTATTGACCTTAACCATCTATTAGTTTAAATGTAGACAGTCATCTAGTCTCATGAATAGACGCTACCTGAAAGATAATGACAACTACAGTGAATTTAGTTTCACTCACACAGGCAGAGTTCACAGTTCAGAGCTGAAGCTGCAGGAGGGTAAATAATTGCACTTAGCCAATAATGCGTGAGATTTACAAAGCAAGAGCATCTTTGTGCAAAACGTGACCCTAAGCAAATACCAGGAATTATCTGCCCTTTTACCAATCCCCACCCATGTTTTGATTAGAAGAATGGAAAACAAAACAAAAACACCCACCCAAGAACAAGCAGGCTTGCCCACATGTTGTCCAAGGGATGATCAAAATGTGTGCATCCATCTTTTTATCAGTGTTTCTAAACACAGGCAAAGTACTTCAAAAAGCAAATACCTGTAACTTATACAAGGCTACAGCCTGTTATTCCACTGAGCTATTCACCAAGCTTTCAGGAGTGAGAATGATTACAGAGGAAGCCCAAAAACTTTACTGACTGTAAGCAGCTAATCAAAGAGTACCTACACAACCAATCAGTCATGTAGGTATCTAATCAGCTGGCCTTTCTACAGACAGCTGAGCTGCAGCTGGATGAAGCTGTGTACACACAGCCCAAAATTACATGTTTAGATAGGCAAAAGAAATTTTCATAATGTAAACAGGAAAGTGTCTGGGTTGGATAAATCTGTCCAACTGCTACTGCCCATTGGAGTATAGTTCCCATCCACAGCACCGTTAATTGGTAATGCAAAATTCCTGAAGTAAAGGGACCAAAATCTGAATAAAGTTGTCAAGGTTAAAAACTCTTGTCTAGATTACAGTCTTTTCCTTACTGGCATAGCTAGGCATTTCTGAATGCTAACGCAAGCATGAAAAATACAGGTCCGGAATAAGCATTGCTTTACTCTTCTGAGCCGAGTGTTCGCTCTGGAGACCTGACAAGCATAATGCTTTACTCCACGCAAGCTGCTGTACTTCTGGGCAAGAGAAGCAGATGGTACACAAATAACAAACAAACAAAAAAATCGAGCACAAGAGGGTACTAAATAAAATTTAAGTGTGAAACATTTGTTCAGGCTTAGATTTCCCCCCTGTCCCATCTCAGTTAGTAATGATGAACTTAACAGGTTGATATTGTCACTTCTGTCTACATCCATTTGTTTTTGTAACTGTGCATACAGAAAAAGTGAGTCATTTATGTTGAGAGGAAGAAAATCAGATGTGCACAATCCCTCTAAGCGAGCTGTCTGAACTTTTAAGAGTGTAACAAATTTCCACGTATCAGCTGAAAATTACAGAACTCATGTGCGCACTGAGTTTGCAGCAAAAAGGTGAAGAAACCCAGATTATTGTAGCTTGCTTTCACTGGTAACTAAGCTAAGTCAAATCGCTTTCCACATTACCCTCCTTCCGCTGACCAAAAGCAAACTGTTTCACCACACTGATGCACACACGAGGCTGAGCATTTAAACTCAAGGCCTGGTGGCTCAGGATGTGATTTTATGGTCAGTTTGAACAGAGATGAGTGAGGACTACCATCAGAGATAGTGGCTCTTCACCTCCACCCCACCTCTAACTACTCACTCTCACCTGCTGCACTAGCATTCACGGTGGGCCACATCAGCAAAATAATCTGTCTGAAAACTAAGCTAGAAGACACACACATTTTCAGGTAACTGCTCTAGCTCACCCACATCAGCCCGGTGGAAATCCTGCACTGCTGAGGAAAAACACAACCCTTTCATCAGCAGACTCCACTTTTTGGCTGGAAGTGACCACGGAATCTCACTCTTTCATGGGGAGTTCTTAAAACAGGTAAAATTTCTACTTAAATACCAACAGGGCTTACAAAAGCATTCAGGCATCTAAGTTCCATTAAAACAATACTACTTGAAAAGTTTAATATAAAAGCAGGCTATATTATATATTATAGGCTATATATATTATATAATATTATAGCCTATAA